CCCCCCCCCCCCCCCCCCCCCCCCCCCCCCCCCCCCCCCCCCCCCCCCCCCCCCCCCCCCCCCCCCCCCCCCCCCCCCCCCCCCCCCCCCCCCCCCCCCCCCCGCCTATTGGATTCTAGGACCCAACAGAATTCAAAAAACCTGATCGGGAAAAGGAGGAGTTGGTCGTAGGATTTTCGAGTAAGAAGTATGAGCGAACTGATGAGATTGACATATTAGTCAATTCTGATGAATTCTGCTAGGTTCCGATGAAGTTTTCGATACTTAAAAATCAAGTAGGATGCAAGATAGGAGTGTACAGCTTACGCTCATGAGTGCGAGCGGTATATTCCTAATTATTATTACTTTATGATTTATTGCCAGTTATAAATTAAAAATAATTGAAACATAAAAGCAACAACTGATATATAATAACGTGTAATAATTATTACCGTAATAAATACCGACTCAAAGATATTACTTAGAATCGTTTAGTACCTATACAGGAGAATCTCTTATAGCTACTTGCGATCTACCGGGAGATTGTATTAGAAGCCTCCAGGATGAGATCAGAACTGGCCCCGATAGCTATTAGGAGCCTACCCATAGGTGATTCTCAGAACTTTTCTCAATCACATAAGGGGAATACTTAGAAGTGTTTTGAGCCTGCATAAGGGTGGTACTTAGAAATTGTAAGGACTCAGTCAGAGGGAGTAGTCAGACGTTTTAGAATCTACCCATAGGTGGTCCCTTTAGCTATTTGGGATCTACTTACAGATGATACCTAGAACTTTTAAGAAACTACCAAGAGGTGGTCCTGTACCTTTCTGGGCCTACTCCATGATGATAATTAGAACTACGTGACAACTTCCCAGGACTGATCTGTGCAACATTTTGAGTCTATAGGGTATTCCATTTCAAACTGAATTCAAAAAAGAAAAAAAACACCTGTACTTCCGAGGGACTGGGGGTTTAGGGGATCCTAGAAAAACCGTAAAGAATTCGAACCAGACACCGATGAGCAAATCTTCTTCACCAAAGCTTGACGATAATTTCTTCAACTTCCACGCTTCGCATGTACCAACCAAAGCTGCAACAGTCACCCGAACTCTATTTAACCCCAAAACAAGAAGTATCAATTGATTTCAGATTTCTGAATTCTGAACTCATATATATGTATATAGGTATGTTTTTTTTCGACCGGGGGGTCTAGGGTCTTTGAAGAATTCAATTGAATTCTGAATTCATATATATGTATATAGGTATGTTTTTTTTTTCGACGAGGGGTCTAGGGTCTTCGATGAATTCATATATGTGTGTATTCGTCGTACGTGTATATTTCTGTGTGAACGTGGGCTCTAGGTGGTCTTCATTTAATTCGTTTGAGCTGATAATTTTCGTCGTTGAATGCAGTGTTCGATTGCGGATGATAGTAACGGTTGAGAACGGACGAGAGAAAGTTGCCTGTAGTCGTATGGTTGCTACAATTTTGGGATAGGAATGCTCTCGTGCTGGATGAATTCCATTTCGAGTTTGATAGGTTGAGCGGAATGAGTATTAGTGAAGTGATTTTTCATCGGTGCGAAAGATGAATTTGAATGACACATGAATAGTTGCTGATTCACTTTTCTGTGTATTCATTCTGGTTTTTAGTATGAAAATATCTCAACTTTTTATCTACATGTCACCGTTGCTTTTTGTAGGTATGGTTGACAATGGATGAATGACATATCAGAACAGAGTTATGATAAAATCGTGCTGCTGAGGCACAGGTGTTGTCATTTTTATGGAAAGTTGGTCGTGCGATGAAATATTGTGACAGTGATCGTTTTCAATAGTTTGGATTTATTAAATGAGTCATTTGAGTTGATGTCGTGAAGTGGTATCAGTTAGTGGATGGTTCACACTCTTTAGACATCTGATTTTTATTGTTGCTATCATATTATGTAATTTTAGTGAGGTTCAGCTCTCCAGTTTAGGATAACGTGTAATCTCGATGGAGTTACAAGAACTAATTGAAATTCACTTGGGAAGAACATATACATATTTTCGCGGATGGAAATAATCTACTTCAAGAAATACTCGAGTTTTTATAGATAGTTGTATGACACATAATGTATCTACAGAGATTATTGAAACATACGAAGTGTGAATGATTGGTTATCATTTCCCACAAATTGAAATCCACAGATACATCTATACATCATATCCACACTTGTGGTAAATAAAACAAATATGACCCATTCTGGTGACCAAATAGGGATTTTTCAATTTAAGGATTTTTTTTATTCTATATCTTGCTCAAGTCACAACCTAAAAGGGTCTCGGTTAGGGGCTCATCAGTACCAGTATACTGGGTACTAGTAACACTGGTGGCCAGAATCATCTCTCCGAGTTTCTGATAAGCAAAATTACACTTCGAAATGATTCTAATAGATATCGAATATGTATGATTCTGGTTACTAGAATCACTTTTCGAAACGTGATTCTATTTATCAGAAACTCTTACGTTAGTGCAGATTCTGGTTACCAGAATCATTTCGAAAAGTAATTTCGCTTATCGGAAACTCTCAGAGCTGATTGTGGTTACCAGAGTCATAGATATTCGATATCTGTTAGAATCATTTCGAAACGTAATTCTGCTTATCAGAAAGTCGGAGAAATGATTCTGGTCACCAGTATTACCAGTACCCAGTAAACTGGTACTGATGAACCCCTAACAGGGACCCTTTTCGGTTGTGACTGGTGCAAGATATAGAATAAAAAAAATCCTTAAATTGAAAAATCCCTATTTGGTCACCAGAATGGGTCATATTTGTTTTATTTACCACAAGTGTGGATATGATGTATAGATGTATCTGTGGATTTCAATTTGTGGGAAGTGATAGTCATTCGTGTGAATCTAGTAATGAAAAAGAAATGAAACTCGGTAGCTATATTCTTGTTTTAGAAATACAACTAACTTCCTGCTTCTGTCAATAAACGAAAACAAATTAGTTAACGTGGTAGAATNCAAGTCACAACCGAACAAGGTCCCAGTTAGGGGTTCATCGATACCAGTATACCGGGTACTGGTAACACTGGTGACCAGAATCATCTCTCCGAGTTTCTGATAAGAAGAATTACGTTTCGAAATGATTCTATGAATATTGAAGATGTATGATTCTGGTAACCACAATCAGCTCTAAGAGTTTCTGATAAATAGAATCACGTTTCGAAAGGTGATTCTAGTAACCAGAATCATACATATTCAATATCTATTAGAATCATTTCGAAAAGTAATTTCGCTTATCAGAAACTCTTAGAGCTGATTGTGGTTACCGGAATCATACATATTTAATATTCATTAGAATCATTTCGAAAAGCAATTTCGCTTTTAAGAAACTCAGAGAGTCGATTCTGGTCACCAGTATTACCAGTACCCAGTATACTGGTACTGATGAACCCCTAACAGGGACCCTGTTCGGTTGTGACTTGAACAGCATATAGTATATAAAAAAAATCCCTAAATTGAAAAATCCCTATTTGGTCACCAGAATGGGTCATATTTGTTTTATTCACCACAAGTGTGGATATAATGTATAGATGTGTCTGTGGATTTCTATTTGTGGTAAATGATAACCAACCGATCTTGAGGGTGTGTGAATTTGTTCTCTTTATTCACACCCACACCCCACACCCTTGCCTATCACCAACTTAGCAGCAAAAATGATTTACCAATCCTTATGTGCATGCAAAACTTCAGTTTTCTACGAAATAAAACAGCTAAATAGTTTACTAATTTCTCGGAAAAACAATCTCCTGTTTTCTGAAAAACTTCTGCTTTTCGAAATTTGGATTTGGCAACCCTGGTATCTACCTAACTACGTAACTATCATCATTCAGAATGTATATTTTCCCAAGAAGCATTGTGATACAAACAAATGTTAGGCACCCTGAACTTCCCAGATCACTACTTTATTTACGTAGACTACAGAACCGGTCCGTAAAAAGACGAATAAATTTCCTAGAAAATTGTATCTTCCTTCTCTTATGTTGACAGTCAAAGGCTTAAGCATGACTGCATGCAATAGTAGGAATTTATTTTATACATCTCGCTATCGTATGTTGAAGATTCCATTCAGATGAAAACATCAGAACTACGGAAAAAATGAAAAATTTAACGAAGGACAAGAGCAACATTGCATTTTTTCGAAAATCATGTGCATTTTTCGTGAATAAGTGAGATTATTTTTCAGTCTTTACCTCTTTGGTGTTTCTTTTAAATAAAATCACCCACAAAAAGCTGATATTTTTGTAGCGGGTAACCTAGATTCTCGTTTATTATGAACAACTAAAAAAGCTGTTAGCGCAATCCCTGTGGGATTAAAATGTGAAACACGATGAAACTTTTTTTCTGAAATCCGTCTATCACGGTCAGTGATGGTCTGTGGAGCTTCTCTGTTACGGCCTGTATTATGATGTATGGACTCTCTAGAAACCACCACAGACTGTTACAGAGAAAATAATTAATTAATTAATTAATCAATTAATTAATTTCTCTGTAACGGTCTGTGGGAGGGGGGATACAAATTTCTACCCTATATACTTCAACACTCCTTTCAATTCGTGTTTCACAAAATAAAGTCATACTAAACACCACAAATAAAAAGTTTTAATGTTTTATTTGGATTTTTTCTTTTACTTTCTTATCAAAATATCGGACCAATAATGATTATTTACCATGTACAATTGTTTATATTATTTATATTATTTAGACAACAAATTAAGCTTTCAATGGTATTAGTACTTACAGTCATTCACTATCCTCTAATATCATAACCATAAGACATATACGTATGTGGTGAAACACTTTATTTATTTTAAAAATGCCTCCATATCAACCATCTGCTCGTTAGAAAAAGACTTGGGAAACAAGCCACATTCGTACCATGAATCATTAATTAGAAATATAATGACAAACTGTAGATATCCTTATTATCGCATTAAATAAAAATAGGCAAATATTGTTATCAGCGAATAAAATCTCTCATCTATAAATCGATAATATTATCTAAGAATTAGCTAATCAAGAAAAACTAAAGTTGGAAGTAATATACTATTTATTTAAAAGTTTATATAATTATGTTTAATGTTGCTTAAAATTCAAATTTGCCTGACTCGTATAAATTGATTTCAAAATAGGAGCTGCTGTCAATACTATATCAGTTATTTTAAAAACTCTGCATGCATTTCTACATATTTTGAACAGAGGTTAGCATAGGTTAGGACTGTCATGTAATTTTAGCTGCTTTACAGTGAACCAAATGAAGTGACGCAATAGTAAACAAATGGGCTACTCATGCTAAGTTATAAGTTTAAGGCTGATCTATTCACTAAAATTCATTAAGAGATCTTGAACATTGAAACAAGAGTAAAGGATGGTGTGTGTGTTCTGCTCTTCACCCAACCCAGCCCGACAGCCACAGCCACACCCTCACACCCACACCCTTGAGCAAAGCGAAAACAAAAAACATAAGTCACATTTTCCTACGAATTCTTTCGAGTGTTTCTCTATATTTTAGCAAATGCGGATGATTATAAGATAGTTTCTCCTGTGCAACCTCAACAGCTTGTTGAACATATTTCATTGCTATATCATATTTTCGTGCATCCAAATATAATTTTGGCACTCTGTGATAAATAACGGCTAAATCAGGATGATTTCTTGGTAGCCGATTTTTGCGTCTTTCTATTCCTATTTCGAAATATTCCGATGCTGTTGTATAATCTTTAATTTTCCGATATGTTTCAGCTAAATATGTATATGTTAATGAACATTCTACAGGAGAACCTTTAATATTTTCTTGAATATCTAATGCCTCTCGATTGAACGTTATTAGTTCTTTTTCATAATCACCCATTAATCGATGCGCATCACCAATATTGCTCAACGTTGTAGCAAGATATGCATGTTTTTCAGGGAACGTTTTTTGATACATCGAGAGACATTTTTCAAAATATTGTAGTGACATCGGGTAATCTTTCATACTGTGATAAACTCTTCCGAACGAGCTATAAATAAAAGCAAAAATAGGATTACGTTCTTCAAATGCTTTTTTCCTGAGTTCGTGAGCATTTCGAAGAACCTTTAGTGTGTGTTGTGTTTGTTATCTATGAATGAGAGAATTTATTCAGCGATATAAATACTTTTATGTTTTTGTAAATAAAAACAGATCTACAATGGATGTGTAGGGAAAAAATTATATTAATTTAATAAGTTGTTTTTTTCTGTGTAGCTATGAATGAGGATTTAAAATTATTTTTGAAGCTGAGAGAAAAGCAAATTCGTTGAAATGATAGTTTGAATTGAATAGAAAACGGTTGGATAGTCTTGAACAGATCGTCGGATCAAATGGAAATGGAATGAAAAACAACTTATATTTTATTTATTAACAATAAGAAAAATTTCTAGTGATAGTCGAAGTGAAATTCTGATGGTCGTTTGTTTAATATGATTCATTGTTCTGTGACTTGAATAACTACTATTACTATTGCTGATCAATAATTAGCCTTGTTTAATATATCGGTGTTTAAATTCGGACTAATTATTGAAATCATTCTGTATGATTAAAACATTTTTTGTTAAATATTTATTAAAAACAATAAATAGCCGACATTAAAATAGGCTTTCATAATTAACTAATATTTATAATTGTTTTCTATTCAAACTGAAAATTCGCTACAAGTTGTTTAAGACATTTTTATGTTTCAATAATTTTTCAATTTAAAATTCGGTTCTTGTGAATATTGTTTTCTTCTTTATCAAGAAATGTTCAGTAGGTCGGTGAATTCTTGCATCATTACATTGATGCGTCATGTCGGAAGTGCGTGTCAGGATGACTAATTCGTTGTTTTCCGACGCAGGAAGAAAAATTCTTGGGAACGGTAGATGGGAAAAAAAATTCGATAGCGTTCATTATTTTTCTCTACCGTTCATATTTTTCTCGCTTCTTCAAGCATGTTCTAGAAGTTTCTCGCTCGAAGAGAGGCTTATCACTATAAAATGCTGATGCCGTTCGCTCATTCCTTTATTTTCTATTTTTTATTTGCTGCGCCATTCACAAAACTCAACTCAACTCGGTGGTACGTACAATGTCAAGTGAAAACCTTATACAAAAACCAATGAAAAATACTAATTATGAAATTCACCCAAAAATAATGTCATTAACTCACCGGTACACAATTAAAGAGAAGAATGGATCTCGCAAATATAAGGTTCAATCAGATCCATTTCTTCTTGGTGGCACTACTATATTGAAAGATATTAATGGACGGTACGTTTTAAAAAATTACATTGCTTCAAATACTTTGTTTGCTCATGTTTTATTTGCAGTTGTCTTTGGAAAATTCGTAAAAGTAGATTTAGTTACCTCAATAAATTAAAAATTGCGTCAGTCGATACAAATGGAACAGAACATCCAATTGCGACGATGCAGGAAAAATTTAAGTTTATAACGAAAAATTTTGCAATCAATTCAACAACTTATGGAAATTATATAATGAAAAGTTTAAATGCCAGCGGTGATTCATTTGCACTGTGGGAAGAAGACGGTACTATGGTTGCTATAATACTTACAAAATTGAGCAGTATAGCCATTGTACACAAAGTGGAAGTATTTGGCTCCGACAATGATATGAATGAAGAATATCATACATTTATTTTGGCATTGATTGTTATCTTCATTCGATCATAAATAGCTTTGTTCCATTTAAAAAATTAATGCAATTAAGTTATCCAAAAAAAAAAAAAAAAAATTTGAAAACATAAAATAGATAAAGTGCTATATTATAAAACTATAGAAAAATTGGTGAATAATAGGCTAAGATAAAGTGTATTATTATACAAAAATTAGAAAATATATTATTATAAAAATAGATAAATAAATACAGTATATTATTATAAAAAAAAATAGAAAAATTGTTGAAGAATACATTACATGTTAAGTTTTAAACGCGTTATTGATTACATTGTACTAAAACAAGTGTGATTTTACATTTTTTGTCAACTTTTACAATTTAAAAAATATATAGTCACTATTATGTGACACAGAATATGAACCGTCTTGTTTCTTGTTTCTTATTTCTTGTTTCGAATCCAAGTGCACGTGCATCTGTTAAATGTTCAAAGCTTGAGAGAATTATCTGAAATGTGGCTTTGGAAAATGTCTGATATTCATGAATACTTCTGATGAACGATGCTTTAGTATAAAGTCAAGCATGATGTGAGGAATAAAAGTGCAGAGGATTTACCATAACAGAATGAATCTCATTGTGAGTTCTTTCATCATTTCAACTGTTAGATCTTTCGAAGTGTTGTTAGATTATCAAGTAACAAAGACTGAAATCGATAACTGATTTTAATTGATTATTTTTTAATGAAAGAATACAATATTTTTTGACAGTAGATGTAATTTGGTTGTTGCATTTGTATTCTTTATGATAGCATTAGATAAAGCACCGTGGTTTTCTCTTTCTTTTCTTGAAATATGAAATCTTCTAAACAAATTGTTACTTTCCTTGAAAAAAGAGCATTCATATCAGAATTATTTCAATGAAAGCTTTCGTAATAGATTTTTTTTCACAAAATGTTTTGATTAATGGTATTATCGATATAAGAAATCCTACATATGAATCTGAATTACTATTAACAGAGATTTGTCAGTGTGAATTAGTTTAAGAAATAAATCATCAATCAAATAGCGATTGCTGATGATAGAGGTAATAATAAATCATTTATGCATAGTATCTAAATCGTGTTTCTTTTTTTAGAATACAGGTGTTCGACTCTGGATCATATATAACGTTACATTTCGCATTCGCTTTTACACGGGTGTGGGCGGCTAGTGTGTACGTGTGGGTTTTCTATTCATCCAGTCAAAACCACACGCACACTCTCTTCAATTGTGAATTCATCAATGTCTTTGTTTACTAAAATATTTGTCCATGTGTGACGTGTTTTGATGGTCATACCACCGATTGACGTTAAAAATGACTCGACGCCTCTCCAAGAATGACTAAAATGACGTAAAGATATATATATAAGCACGCTGGTGAAACGAGTATTAATTTGTTCTTTACAAAACGAAAAAAGATCACTGATATCGTTTAATACAGATTCATTCGAGAAATCAATATCTGCATTTGGATTAATCAAAATTTCTTCTTCTTCTTCACTTGAAAATGTTTCTGTTTCATTCGATGTAATACTTTCTATAGATCTTCTAGAATACGCATGACGTGAATGACTTCGTCGTCTATTAACTTTTGACATCTTGAATTGCTTGAATAATGATTTCAAAATTGGTTAAGTTCGAATAACCTTTTGATAGTATGGACGCACTAGTACCAGTTTACTGGGTACTGGTGACACTGACAAATCAGTATTTACTGGTACCAGTAATACTGGTTTTCTTCTTTCGAAAATAACTATTATCATAGTTGAATGAGTATTTTTCTCAGCCATCACTTTTTTTTGTCTATATTCAAGTGGAAATTTGAGTTTTGCTGCATTTTGAAAAACTATACGATAGTGTAGGTGTGGGTGTGCATGGGGATGGGGATGGGGGTAGGGGTCTGGGTGTGAGTGTTGGCGTATATATTAATAATACCCGCACACACTCCCATACCCACACCCACACCCTCAAGATAGGATATAACTAATGCAAAAATATGATTTATCAAATCTTTGAACGGTATCGATAAAATTTTACTATGAAAAAATGTTTAGAAAATGCTCTGCATCGTGATATTCTTCGTCCGTAATACATGTGAATATGTTAGAAAGCATAATAATTTCTTACCCTTCATTTGATAACTAATTCATTTATATTTGTGAGTTTTATTGAAGTAAAAAATATTTCTTATACTTTGATTGAAAAAGTTATTGACGTTCTATAAGTAACTAGAAAACAGATAGTAAGTAGATTGTTTCTTTTAAATTAAACCCATATCATGCCCATCGATCCGATCGTCCTTTGAATTCAATTGAAAGCATTAGCTGTCGTGCTATAGTAATGCAATAAAAACCAGGATGAGGCCATTTAGTTGAATTTTGTGGTATGGTGAGCACAGCTTCAACAGTAAAAGGAAAAAATACTTATTTTGTTTCATTGATAGCTAAATGAACACGTTCAAAACCAAACAATTGTTTAAAAGGTACGATTTGACGATCAATTGTATTGGGTAGTGTAATATAAGCTAAAACAATATCATCACCTGCCATATTTCCAGTATTTGTTATATTAACACGAATTAAAGATATAACTGTACGCTCAAGTTTATGATTATGTTTTAGCAAAGATTGAATAGAATAAGATGAAACCATAGTACTACTATTCCATGTATAATTAAATGTGGTATATGATAAGCCATATCAAAATTCATATACAGCTTGTCCAATATAAAATTTATATGTTCGCCCGAGATTCGTTGATGATGGTCGCATTTGCATATCAAATATACTGACTTCATTGACATACGATGCTGGATAAATTGTTACAGGTAAACGACCAGCTGGATTGTATTGACCAAAGATAACAGTAGCTATGGCAAGTCCTCCCGACTGTCCTGGATAGCCAATCCAAATAAGACTAGCACACTGTGTTGAATCTCTAATATAAGAGAAGTCAACTCCACCACCAGACATAATCACAATATGAAGTGGTGAATGAGTTACTTTTTCAAGTTGTTTGATTAAAGTAAGTTGAATGGCTGGTAAAGTAATTCACTGACGATCGACTCCTTCACGTTCAATCGTATTATCAATTCCACCGAAAAAAAAGACAATATCTGATGCTCGAGCTAACTCAATCGCAGCAGCAAAATCTTTTTCATTATAACTTGATATTCCACAACCACGAGCATATTCAATATTAATCAATTTACCTGATTATAATACGAATGAAAAATAGTAGAATATCGATTTTCCATATATTAAAAACTTTTCAAACCTGCTGTTAAATTTTTAAAACCTGTTACGGGATCTATGAGAAATGGAGCTCGTCCATGATAGAGGCCTTGCATTGTTACTGTTGCATCTGTCATTGGTCCAATCAAAGCAATTTTCTTGTTCTTCAATAGCTCCATATCTATTGGCAATACTTGATTCGTATTCTTCAATAAAACGATACTTTCTTGTGCACTTCCAAGTGATAATTGTCTTGCTTCTAATGTATCAACATTATTCTTATTCAATTGTCGATAAATTTGTTGTTCTGGTGGATCAAACCAACCGAGTCGAATAAGAACATGAAATGTACGCATCAATGATCGATCAATATCAGATTCAGTTATTTTTTTACTATTTAATGCATCTGGTAAATGAAACAAATAGAAAACACCACATTCAAGATCTGTACCAACGTGTAACGCAACTGCAACTGTATCTTCGACAGTTGATGTATAATGATGTGTATATAAACTATTACCAATAGCTCCACAATCACTTACAACAAATCCATTCAGATGAAATGATTCTCTAAGAGTTTATAAAAAGAAAAACTTGTTAATTGTAACTTGAAAATATTTCATACCTCGCAATAGTTTCTAATAGAAATTGATGAGCACAAGCTGGTATTCCATTAATTGAATTATAACTACACATAATACTAGCTACTTGTGCATCTTGTATACAAGTCTTAAATGATGGTAGATATGTTTCAACTAAATCTTGATCAGTTACTTTAGCATCAAAATGATGTCGATTTGTTCCATTCCAATTTTCTAAATCGTAAGCATCGAAATGTTTACAATTAGCAGCTATTTTTAAATACCGTTCATCATCACCACGTTGTAAACCTTGAATAAGTGCATATACATATTGAGATGTTAGAAATGAATCTTCACCAGGTGTTTCTTGTCCACGTCCCCAACGTGGATCTCGAAAGATATTAATCTTTGGAGTGAAGAACGTGAGACCAGCTTGACCTTCATTATTAAAAGCACGTGCTTCAGTTGAAATAATACTTGCTATATCATGTACAAGTTTCATATTGAATGTTGCACCAAGATTAATTGGCATAGGAAATGAAGTAGCTGCAGGTAAATCGCCGTCAAATATTACACCCGGAGAATAAGCAAGACCATGAAGAGCTTCTGACCACCATTCATATTTAGGTAAACCAAGGCAAGGCACTGTATCAGCTGTTGTAATCATGTGAGAGATTTTCTCTAGTATAGTCATACGATTTATTAAATCAGCAGCTCGTTCTCGTGATGGTAACGATTGATTACAAATAGGAAATGATGATAAAGGACCTGATTTAAACAAAACTATCGGCAACGATACGGAAAATGACACGTATTTTCTCATACTACTGCTAGCAACAGCCGCGTTCTCTGATGGTAGCGCTACACGAACCATTGTTTACGATGCGATATATCTATTCGCTCGCATATTTTATGCTGTGGCCTACATTATGGCATTGCAACCCTGGAGAACTGTGCTCTTTACTGTTGGTCTGATCTGTACATTGCCTGTAATCTAGATCTGGTCATTTCAATGTCACGGCGATCCAACTGACTTTGACTTCTACGCTGCAAATATTTTATAACGTAGCGCTTAATTAAGAAAAAACTATCATTGTTCTTCATTATTCAACTACGAGTCGCACGCATTATGATATACAGTTATTTACATGCAACAGTTTTAAGAATCTGAACTAATTTTTGAGTAATTGTACAAATTGAATATGACGAGCAAAAGCGAATCTGTACGAGAATCTTTTACAAATAACAAAACATTAAACCAGATCATTCATTTTTTTCAAATAGCTGATCTTGACGATGTGTGTGGGTGTGGGTGTGTGTGGGTGTGTGAATATGGTTGGGGATAGATCTTGTTCTTCCGTTTACTTAGACCCACACCCGCATAAGTAGCACACAAGCTTGTGTAATATAATTTCCAGGAGTATTCGTGAATTTATCAATAGGTTACCATTGTTTATAAAGTTGCAGATTATGATATAATAGATATTGATGTAGAGCTCTATGTTTCTTTTTTGTCTTGTAACATCGGTAATAATCTTATGAATTGAAAGTTGAAAATGGTCGAATAAGATCGAAAATTCCTGAAAAATAAACAAAAAATCTTATACTACATACAAATTTTGCTAATCATTGCATGAAACTAAAAACTTATGAAAACTTCTACTTTCAAGGTTATTTTGTATTAAATATAATTTCTGAGATTTATAGAGAACGAACGTTATTGATGAGTAGAATGTTTTTGTTCGAAAAGATTCCAGAAACTTCAGGGCGAGAGAAAAATGATGATAACTGAGATAAAGCTAAAAATCTTTTTATGATTAACTAAACTATACTGATAATCCTCGAGTAAAGGTGATGAAGAATGATCATGACTGATACAAAACTGAAAAATTCTTTTATGATTCATAGAAATATTTTATCGAGCGTTCCCGACATTTCTGAGTTTTGTAAGTTTTGTAAACTATTAATTGAACATCATGGTTTGGGTAGTTGATTGAATATTGTGCTGCATTGTTGAAATGATTTTTTAAATGTTATGAATTATTAAAATTGTTATAAAAGAAAAAGCACTATCTATAAAAATGTTCTGACAACAAGTTCGAGCGAACTCTATAAATTACAGTTATTGATAAGAAAAATTGAGAGATAGGTAATTAGTGAACTGTACAAATTACAATTATTTATGAGTAAAAATCAACAGATAGGCTAAATAGAATTTAATTTACTTAATTTTTTTTTAATTTTAATTTGCAAATCTTAAATTTATAGCAATCGAAAGTTTTAAAAGCTTAAACAACTTTTTATTTAAAACATGACTAATAGTCGAGTTTCACAAACTTTGTTATTCATATGTAATTTTATATTAATCAGTTTTGATTTTCAAAAATGATAGATTTTGTGTTAAAATTTCTCAAATTAATTCAACTTTACAAAAATAAATCTGAATTTTATAGTTTTAAATTTTTAAATTTAAATTCATGCTCGCAAATGAGAAGATATGGTGAAAACTCCATATAGAAACATCCAATTCTCTCCTATAATAGATAGCGTAGTCACCTTTTCACATATCGATATTACCATTTGAATTAGATCCGTAACTCTTAGGCCCGAAGAAAAACTGAAAAAAGCATTTGAAAAATAAACTCGATTAAACTTTTGCCGCTGACTGTAAATAGAGTTAAGCACTACACGGCTAATGACATCGATCAAATTTCAAGTAATTCTGCACATCTGCTCGATTGCATGGCAATAAATAGGAGCAAACGAGTCACATGAGTGTTTAAAGTGGCCCATATAATGTCGTTCCATATTAATCTTTTCGTTGTGTTTATTGCCTCTATTTCGATAGCCGTGCTGTGCCAATACAGCAGCGACGATTGTATGATCGACGTTGAACCTACCAAAGACTGTTTCCAGTACATTCCGGCAAGCTGTGTAAATGGAACATTCATTGCAGATCGTCTATACTATGGTAATAATTGCTTGAATATATCTTTATTTTGGGGTGGACCAATGTACAATATGACAGTTTTGTTCAAAAGTCACTTGTTGAATCCATACGAGTTGTGTATGTCGCCGGTTGGATGCGCAAATGCATTTCGTAAGACCGACGACGGACGCGAGGTCCCCGTCGAATGGAATCCATCAAGTGGGAAGCCTCTATGCTTTGCAGTATCACACGGCGAAAGACCGACAATGAAGTTTCGTTTCGATGCTGGGGATCAGTATATATGCTATGGAACTTTCATTAAATTTTTCTATAAACTGTAACTTGGTGCTATTCCAGTATCATTTGAATTCGATTTTTAAAGCTGATTGTGAACCTGTGTATGGCACAATAAATTTTCAATGTTAAAAAACAAGCATTTTTAAAGATGATGTTATTTAAGCATCGAAAATAAGCTTTTTGTTCATGAACTATTTCAAAATAACAAGTACCATTAAAGATACATAATTGAACTAATCGTTGGGCTAATCAGACGAGAGAGCAGCTCTACCAAGGCATTTCATTAATGGTAATATTGTGGTAGCTGAAGTATTTACCAAAATTGATTGAATTCGTTTCGAACGAGATAGTAGTAGCTTTAGTGTAGTAGTCGATGGTGTAACGACACGATGGAAAAGACTGATTCTATGGCGATAGAATCATCTGAATCACACATAATTGTTCAGAATCACATGGAATCAAACATTTAAAAAATGCATGCCTATGAGTCTTATCAAGCTTGATCGAATACATTTCATCGATTAGAAGCAGTTAATTAGCTTTTGACAGTTTTTCACCGAGTAGTAGAATTAATTTCACCGTTTAACAACAAACAAACAGGTTTTTATTAAACTTGAGGGTGTGGGTGTGGGTGGGTGTGGGCGAATATCCTGTGCAATATGACCCACACCCCAGGTTGTGATTTCATTCTGAGCCCAACAGCAGCTCCCTTTTTTAGTAAATGTCAGAAGCGGTACCGCCTTCAACGGTGAAATTGCATAAACTTCTGAGTTGAATGTAACAATTTGTTTTAAAATTGCAACCCAATGTATTTGGTTTGAAGGGTGCAAAATAAAGCTTCGCTGCGCGACAGATCCTTCTGGAAAATGTTTGCATGTATTAACTAATTCTTTCTGGATGAGCCCGATTCTCAGATCAAAATACGTATTGCATTCGGAATGTTATTCACGAATTTTCAAACATCAGATAAAAATTTGTGCTAGTTTGGATGCAAAAAATGCTGACTACAGGACACCCATTGAAGCGTAAGGAGGGGCAGGTAACTTTACCAAACTTCTTCGATTGATAGTTTGAGAGCTAAACACTCTTAAAACTTTTATTTTTTCTAAGATAATCAACCGTTCCATATCATATTACTGTTCTGAACCGAATCACACAAAGTGCGGCTTCTCAAATCTACTATTTATTACTATGACATTCACACAAATCACCATATTCATCAACAGTAAGGCCAGTATGATATACACCATCAATATCTATGCAATCACAATCAAGATCAAGATTATCATAATCATCATCCTCAATGTAGGCACGATGACGATAGGAATCCCCAGGCGCGCCATCCTCGTCAACATAAGGATCAACATATTCACTACCAGTACAACTTGCATTACTACGGTTTGTATAATGCTTCCTCATACTATCAGGATACCAATGCCAATCACGAAAAAGGTCACATCTACCACAAGCACATCCCTCGTAAACGAATTCCTTGTCGGAATATCGTGAATTGTTTGGCGCGGTGGCTTGTGGTTCTTAAAAAATTTCAGTATTTATATAGTCTGAGAATGAAAGACTAGTTTTCTCTGTAGGTGGTTCTCAAAGCCACCAATCTATTCAAATTGTCGATGGAGAATAGATCTGATAGTAATTATTTCTCAGCTGGAAGATTAAATTCGCGCTCTTATCAATAGGAAAAATCTTAAAAGAGAACGACAGAACTCCGCTTTCTTTCTTACCAACTCAAAGACAACCCGGTCGGTGTGCTCTACACTTGACATGTGATTGAAGCAAAACATGTAGGCTATCTACATTTCGACCCGTTGACGACTCTATCTATTGAAACATTCATCTAATGATGCCAGTTGTTGCTTGAAAAATTAGAAGCTTTATGGACATCTCGATGCTGAATAGCTCAAGGCTGAACATTAGTAAAACTATAAAGTATATTTAATAGAATTATTTAAAAACAAAATTCTGCTTATATAAGGAAAAAACAATGCGGTTGTGGACGTGAAGGTGTCTTTACTCATGACCCACACCCGTATCCTAGCTTAACGATTTTTTCTAGATGTTTCACAATCAATCTTCAAAAGAGTCTTAGAGTGCAAATTGATGAAGCATTTTTATGAATAGTGTTGTCGTAGAAAGCAGAAGATGAAGATCAAAAACAAATGTCTTCATTACAGAGTACAGACCTTTATTGAAATAAAATGGTTCCGTTAGACATGTGTGGAGCCATGGCCGTTGTATCATCGTAGATTTTCCTAATACTTCTTGTGTAATTTGCAGCATCATATCTTCAAGTCGTAAATTTGGTTTTGACAGATGATTTAACAGTGCGGATATAAATAAACTATTTGTACCCATTGCAGAATCACCAACAAAGGATACTGTACCGGGATCATATGAGAATATTAAAACAAATTGTAATTTAGTTTGTGTACGACTATTTGCTGTTAATGCTTTGCCAAATGCTGGTATGCGGCATTCATCTTCATTGGCAGTTTTCATTTCCCAAGCATCATTGTCTTTATCAGTGCGACAAGCATCCAAAATCATAATATTTAAAAGATCATATTGCCACTATCATTTAAAGTTTTCAATAATTCATTCAAATTTATACAATCGAGTTTCGAATCATGCCGCAGTCCAATTGGCAGTGAATAGTTTGACCCCAAAAAATGAATGAACCAGAAATGTGTGGCGAAATTAGCATACTTGTAAAGGAGAAAATATGAACGAGGGCTTTTCACTTGCAAAAACCTTTGAAATCTTGAAATCGCAAACCTTGCTTTTCCTCTTTGAGTTTCACATTCACTAAATTTTGCAAAATACACGTTTTTCGCGGGAAATAGGTAGACAACGAGACGAGCGAAACCCGTTCAGGCTATTTCTGACTGGTAAATTTTCAAAGCCAACGGACAGGGGCGCATAACATCACAAATTCGTCTATCGACTTTTTGTTGTTTCAGCTTCCAGTTTCATACATTTCTGATAGAACTCGCCAAGCTGAGTATTTTTTGTGCTGGAATTTTGTCTTCAAAAATGGAATGGACACTTTTTTCTAGTATAACTCATTCGATGGCCCTTTTTAAAGGCTATAAAAAAATGAGAGAAACAGTTGATTACATAATTCTATTGATTTCGAATGATTTCAGTTCTACGAAGTCAGTTGTTTCCCTCTGTCCAGTCAGAAAAACGTCTGAAAATAGCGCGTTACAACATTTAAGAGTTAAAATACGTAGATATTTTTCTGATTTACGTGTTTTATGCGTTAACAACTATAATTTCACGAGATTTTAGGTTTTTTTTTCTTAACAGGTTTTATTACATGCAACTTTTACTATTATTTCATCTACAAAAGGTTTTTGTAGTCATAAAAAAATAAAATAAGCACAAAAATGTGCAGAATTTCACGCTTTGTGTTTTTACGTCATTCAGAATGGTATATATTGGGTGGTCGATCTTCATTCTTATCCTGGGTACCATTAGTAGAAATTAAACTTAACTAATAGCAGAATTTTGAATTTCGTAGAATTCTCATTTCTACTGTACCATAAATATGTTCATTTATCGTAAAACAGACATATTTTAGGAGGAAAGGGTATGAGTGTGGGGTATATTTAGCATTCTTTTCTTCTCCACATCCATAACCTTTCAAAATTCACTCCGATCAAATGAGCAGACAACGTTTTATAGGCTTCATGTCAATATGACATCTCAGATCGAATCTGATGATGTATTTTGTTTTGATTTTTTAAATTGTAGCTGGCTCATGATTGGAATTGATTCAATAATGTATGTATCTGATCCTTCTAAAGTATTCAATTCAACTACAACAATCATAGTTCTCCATGCTTTTTTAAATTTATTTAATTATATCACCAAATATAAGATCACCAATATATAACACATTTATTTTTAGTAAGTTTAGAAAAAAAATCTACCGATCTAATCATATTGATGATCATCCATCCTTTTGAATATAATTTTCAGTAACTATTTCTTCGTGTTTAGACTGAGAAAAAAAGAAAGTTTTTCTACATTCAAATTTCAAAGAAATATTTTGCTACTGAAAATAATTATCTATACTCGAGCGAAATTCTCAATTGAAGATAAAAATAACAATAGAAAATAAATGTTCATAGTGAGAGCTTCGAACCGTTATTTTTTATCATAATCAATTGAAGCTTTTATTTTCTGTTAATCTGCGTATAGAGAAAAGAAGTGTGACAATAAAAAAAAACAATACAAGGTGATAAAATTTTCAGAATTATGCTCTTGCAAGACATTTAATAAGCATAAGTACTATCATCACCGTATATAAATATTTATTCAGATACAATCCCAGAACTTCATATCTAAAAAGAAATTAATAAAACTCATGTACAGTAGTTAGAATATTTTTGTGTTTCTCTATTTTCATGAATATGATTCAATTACTTTTTGAAATATTAATTCTCTAAATGAAGACAATTTATAGAATGCTTGTGTTCAATCCATATCATTGAAATAAAATTTTATTCGATCTATTTGTAAACTTCGACGAGAGTTTTGTATTATAATCCAGCAGTTTTTTTGTCGTTTTTTTCAGTTTGTTATAGCTCTCTGAGCAAGAAAATAAAATTGTACTGTTGAAATCTTTCATTTCTATCCACTCCTATTCTTTTTTATTCTGATAGTGAAAAAAATAGCGTATGAGTCCACCATCTACGGGATGAATATTTATCAGCTAATATTATAAATCAGAGAGAGGTTAATATACGTTTGTATAAGGTCATATACAAAATGGTGCCGAGGACATAAATATTCTCGTCAGTCGTCATTCGATCACGCGGAATAAGAAAAGTAATTTCGATTTTATCCGGCGATATTGCTTCTTCCGTCTTCTAAACATGTGATACATGTTTTAACATATTTCAGATTTCTGCTAGTTTCAAGACGATCTAGAATCGTTTACAATATACGTTGATCAATTTTTTTTTCAAAAACAAACAAACAAAGGACCAAGATGCCACCAAAAGAAACGTTCAAACCAAAGCCAAGTGCTAAATCTGAAAAAAACAAACCCAAAGGTGGTCATGCTAAAGACGAGAAGCGTGCTGCCGAAAAGGCGAAACGAGAAGCAAAAGCTGGAGCAGGTGGCATTGTACTTGGAGGCAAAAAATAGCCTATCATTACGTACGTATGATTCTATTTACTAGAGTGATTGTATGAAACATTTTACCTAAAACTTAAACTGACAATTTAAAGACTTTTATAGAGACATCCAGTTATACTACTTGAGGTGTGCATAGAGCAATACTTTTCGTACATGTCGATGAGATTTTTATTAAATATGTTAAATGTATATCCAGTTATTTCAGATTAAAGAATTTATACAGAGATATTGTAGAATTGTTTTCATGAATTGACTCGAATAACTGGATATATATAAGTACTATTGAAATATTCTCATTGGCATGTATTGAAAAAGCAAATGTTCGGCATGCCGAATGCGTTGAATGAAACCAAACATTTTTCTCGACTTATTCGCCATAAATAGAAACTAAATGACAAGAACAATTTAAAAGTATGGGGAAATTTTCCGACCATCAATAAAACAGATCAGCGGCGACGACATGCAGATGAATGTTCAAATGCGCTTTAAAAAAATCGGCGAGGTAAATGGCGATTTACACTTAATTACGATGAGTAAGTACGCTTTCCGCAATGAAAGTCGTTTATGAAAATATTCTAATTTCTATTGATAATTAAACAAGCATTTCTTTAGCGAGAGATTACATAGAATTGACCTTCGCATTTTTTAAAGAATATTTCATCTTAAATGTTCTGCGTTGTTCTTTCAGTTTATATTAACAACGAATTTCTAACATATTATGTAACTATTTCTTTCATTTACAGGCTGATCGATGAACATGAAGATAATAAACAATGGTCATGAGCAACCAACAACTGCTTAAGGACATACATACACACTCGTTTGAAAAATCAAATCAACGAGTTCTCTTTTTTTCTTCTTTTTTTCGTTGTCATGTTCCTTAATAAATATCAGTGTTTAACATAACAATGCATTGTTCTAAATGAAAACCTAGAATAGCAACATCAGGAGAAGTGTACATGCAATATTTACAACCCGTTGACCATTCATAGACGTACGTTACTAATTTGATATTTCGAATCATAACATTAAGCACAGCTAGAATACTTAATAGTGTAGAAAACAAAAATAAAAGCTTACTAATGAAGCCTATGCAACAATTTATCATATCTTCGTGATCATTTTTCTATTGTAATGCAATTGAATATGAAAAAAATCCATAATGATCGAATGCACTTTTGTTTCCTTTTCAGTAAGATAAATGTTTACATTAGTTTTGATAAATCCGCGTAAATCAACAAATAACCGATGATTCATCATAGAACGTTCGAGCAAAATAAAAGTCTATTGAAGTAGGATTTTATAATATTCCTCATAATTCAGTCTAAAATAATATATTTAAACATCATAAAATGCATTGAAATGAAATATTCCGTAGATAACTATACAAATATATTCAAGGTGCTCTACTCGAGTGTCAGCCAATTCAAACTTGCATACAAGTATGCCAAACGACTTCTTGATATACCTCAACATTGTTCAGTTGAGTATAAGTCTCTTGAAAAGAAACGAAAAATCTTCTGCTTATAGAAAAACAATGAGGATTATTAAGCATCTGATTTCTTCTTGTGAAAGAGATATTTATTGCGTTTTCTTAGCAAAACACTAATATTATACAATCCGGTAGTTTCATTCAAAGTCACATCCTTTTCGTATTAACCAATAGCATCCGTACAAGTCTGCCGGAGGCATTTCCTCCTCACCAACACCCGTTAAATGTGCTGAAAATGCTCGTTCTTAACCTGTTCTTTTTCTTAATGAAAGCACGCTCAAAATGCAACCAATCATGAAAATTTATCTAATTCAAACTTCTTTATAAGTTCTAATCGTCGTTGATCAGAAATTATTGAACAGTTTTCAAAATCTTTCATATTCATATTTTGTCTGGTTAATACCAAGAAACTGAATCGAACAAGAAAAAAAAACACTTCATGTTCAACATAGAAAAAAAGTAACAAAAGTTTAATTAGAAACATACACACACATGCAGCTTTCTGACTAGAGTGTTTCTGTTTGTTTCACTCACTACACCATAGAAAAAAGCTAAATAACTATTATAAACAAACATATTATTGTTGTTGACGAAAATGTTTATTAATGGAATAGCCACCCGTTGATTGAATTCGATGGCCTCCTTGCTGTTGTAATTGTGCTAATTGTTCACTAGGTGATAAATGTGTATAGTCAACTGGTTGTTTGAAACCAGCTGATATGAATTGCATTGGTTGTCTATTTGTGGATGGTGCTGGTGGCGGTGGAATAGTTACACCGCTTGGTTTTTTCGTTGCAGACGATTTAGGCATCATCGATGACGTTTGACTATATTCTGAACCGCTTCCATAATTAACCAGGCCAGCTACTACTGGTTGGAGATTACGAACAGGCGCTTCATTAGTTGGCATTGGTAAAAATGCTTGTCGAGGATTTGCTACAGTTGAAGGCGCATGACGATTTAATTGAATCGGTTTTGGTATTTCAACTGATTTATGTGAATGATGAAGTGTATTCCAAAATGAATCAAATGAAACAAGTGCACCATCAACAAATTCAACTAATTGAATTAGATTTGGTTCTAAATATAAACGAAAACACATGGAATAGTTTGAGTTTTAAAAACAAAATTTTGCATTACCATGCGTTTTTTTTGCATAAAAAATTTTATCACGTATTTTCTTTTTAAACAAATCTTTATCTTGTGTTGTCCATGGATAGGTAGCATCAAACCCATCCAAACGACATAGATAGGCTTGTAATGGAAAATCAAGAAATTTTGAATGCAATGGTCGCATTGTATTGGTGCCTAGTTCACGGGTTTCACCTTGATCAACAAATTGAACCTGAAAGAAAAACAAAATAATGTTATTTGTCTAATCTGAAATAGCACAAACCCATGCAAAATTTGTTGTTGGTTTAAATTCTAATACACGTGCACGATACCAATGGGATTGATAGCGAACAGCAACCATTTGACCCCGGCAATATGCAGTCGCTGTTGATATACCTCGACGTTGTTCAGTTGAATATAAATCTCTTTAAAAAAAAAGAAGCGAAAAATATTCTGCTTTTAGAAAAATCAATGAAGAAAATCTTTACGCCATATTTCGATGAAGATCATTGAGCATTTGATTTGGTTCAATTTCTTCAGGATAACGAGCAGCTGAAGCAAAAAGAAAACCCAATTGTTTTTGTAGAATTTATGAATTTCGAATATTCGAGAAATAGATAATTTTATTCTGGAGCAAAATACATACGTTCACCACCTTGACCAAGTGACGTGTCAAGGCCAAATGGATATCGAATATAAAATTCACCAGCCGACTTCACATGTGTGACTTCAACAGCATACCAATGTCGTGGTTCTGGTTCGACCACAGGTGGACAATAGGGTAAATTTTCTAAGTATAAAAAAAAACATGTAAGAATCTTAGCATAAACTCAATGATTTCTCAGCGTCAAACAGATAGTTTCGTCAAAGAAGATAAATTTAGTTTATATATTAACCTTCATCATCCGGTAGAGGAAGTGGTTCAATAGTATTGGAATTAATAATTGGATTATTAATTTGTTGTTTTTGTGGTGGTTCATATCGAACATCGACTTGATTTTTTTCAACTGAAACCGATGGTGCTGCTTGTGTTTTATCTGTTTGTTTTTGAGTATAGTTTCTTTGAGATTCAATATATTGTCTAATACGTTGATTTTTATAACCATTTAAATCACTCATGGCATCATTAGCAGCACGTATATATTCCAAATAATTTGGATCGGGCATTGCAAGTTTTCTTTCAATCAATTGTTCGTTGATAGAATTGATAGATGTATTCATATCGTATAATATGATAGGCAAAGATGAATCGCCAAGTCTGGACAGAGACAAAAGAAAAACAAAGAATAATTTTTATTCGAAAAGCTAATTATTTTACTTGATGGTTTGTGTCGATGTACCTAATGAATAGAATCGAAATGTTTTAAAACCTTTTCCGCCAATGAAACGATTCATTAAATTCATTGCTTCACGTGACCAATCTTCATTAACCGAATGGATTAAACCTAATGAACATTTTATTGCCTGTGATGGATAGATTTGATATTCCGATATAAGTTCATAGATGGACGATTCTTGTACTGTTATATATTCACCAAAATCAATGCAAAGTACGAGTAATGCTTTACGTTCGCGGTCATGATTTATAATTTGTACACGATAAAAACGTTGATCGCGATTATTTCGTGCAACACCTAATGCATTGATTGAAAAGTTTTTCAAACGTGCCATACGATCACATGATATACGTTCCAAATAGGTTTCATTGACATTGTTATAGATTTGCTCGAAATTATTTTTTTCGCTTAATTGAATAAAAAAATGTGATGGCGATATTATCGATGTTATTGTACATGAGCCAATATTATCGTTTAGATTCAAATTAATCGGTGGAATATTACTTGCACGAGATATTCTACCGGACGCATTTGCTGAGATTTTACCCTAAAAAAAACGGATATTTTCAGGTCATATCGGATTCGATTTATTACCCGTCCTCCACTCTCTGGTTTCATAGCGTTTGGCATAATGGGAGCATGATTTGGTTGTCTCGTAGGAATCATGATATTTACTGCTTTGTCTAGAACTACAATAGAAAAAGGAAATATTTTGACGTTTCTTCTCTACTGAAGCAATTAAGAATGTCTATATCAACGAACTTTCTTTTGGTAAATTATAAGCAGCATAATCATTAAGATCAAGACGAGGACCAACAATTTGTACAATTTCTGCAAGTGATGCTCGCCGACCATGACGTAATGATATTAATGTTTCAGCAACATCCTACAGCAAAACAACAAAATCTCATGTTTGCTGTTCAAACTTTTTCATTCGACTCACTGTATGTTCATCAATTGTAAGTTGTACAAAATACATTGGCCTAAAAAACATTAACTAGTTTATCGTACGTTTCTATTCTTTCTAATAATTACCATTGTAACGTTGGCTGTGCAATAATACGTACATCGAGTGGTTTTGTTAGTGTATCTTCGTGAAATTTAAAACTAGCCTTTTTTGTCCAGGAACTATTATTATCACCATTTAGTGGTAATAACTAGAAAAAAATAGCTCATTTTTTATTCATCCTGGAAAAATTTTATTTTCAACCTCAAGCGCTGCACAAATAGCTTGAACAGGTAAATCAGTAAATGCTGGATCAAGTGGACGTAATTCAGTTATATCACGTTCTTCATTATTACCATAATCAAGATAGACAAGTTCAACAGTTGTTTCTAAACAAATTGAACGAAGTAGTTTTACAACATTAGAATTCATTTTCTTCTATGAAAATTTCTACCTGAACTGTATCGTTTTATTCGAGCACGATACCATCGATTATCAACGGAATAACGAGCCGCACAACAACTCATTTCCATTGGTCTATAAGTTACTGACGGTGGATCTGTTGCCGAATAGTAATCGCTAAAATTATGACTGAACTAAAAAGCAAAAGAATAAAAGCAACGATTTACTTCATGCTTTGTGCAAGTCTTTCAAGATCATGCGTATATAGCGTATTTTGAACAAAGAAATACGATGGATTGACAGCAATTGAAACAAGAGCTTGAAAATCTTCACCGACATTTAATAATACTGTTTCAATGTCGACTATCGGTAAAGCTGAAATTCAAAAATTATACGCATTAAAGCAAGGATATTACTAAGCAATAACTCTCTATACGTTGACTTACTCTGATCAATAGGTGTATTATTATTATTATTATGCTCAGCCAATTCTTCGTCATCGTCATCATCATCATCTTGATAGACGTTCGAAACTAATGGCACTTGTTGTACAACAGGAATCGGTTGAACAATTTCTTGTTGGATTGGTTTATTTTTAAACCGAATATCTTCAGCTGGATAACGTATTGGTCGATCGGTATTTCCATTTTGAATTTTAGGCGACGAAATTTGATCTCGTGAAACATTACTATTCTGTGTTCGATTTACATTTGGCATTACTGTTTGTCCATTGGTTTTTGCTGATAAAATTTTTTCTTCCTGATATTTCTGATATTTATCAAGAGCCGATTTGAAATCTTGACGAATACCATTAGCCGTTGTTTGAAGATCTGAATAGATAATGTTGAATTTAAATTCTTTCTCTAGTAAAAATTTTACTTGCAATAGCACCAAATAAATTATCAATATCACATTCGATTTTTTTGAAAACTTCTGACATATTTTGATCATTGGTATTTATTTCACATTGATGATTTGTATCATCATAATCAATACCAGCACGAATAACTTGTAAACGCATTTGATTTTTTTCTTTATATGGAAGACAATACCATGATTTAAGACCATCATCGTTTAAATCAAAAAATTCTCCTATTATCGGATCAAATAATTGAATTATATGGGTACGAAAATCAAACGTTCTTGGTAATTTTTCATGTAAATATTTAAATATTATATCTAATGATGGATTATCAGGTAAATTTATTTGAATTTGTTGTCCATCATGCAAAACTGTTGCATTAACCATGATTGATCTGAATATGAAAAATAAAAATGATTTTTTTTGCAACGAATTATTCGATTTCTCTCTTCCTCTATGATAAACGATTGAATGAAAATTTTATCACGTTGTAACTTTCATGCATAAAGCAAACGAAAAGTATGTTGTATTTTTATAGTTTTTTAAAAGAAGATGTCAGTAGTTCATGGGTAAAATCGAAAAGTACGACACATTATGAATCGATTACACATCTATCTATAAGCGACTTTCAGATTGAAATCGTATTGAGAAATATTTCGAAAAGAACGATTGCTTAGTTTCTTCTATAGCAAAACGTTTTATGCAGAAAATAAATCAATTGTTGGTTTCCTGTTGTTCTATGTTGAAAAGTTCGATGCCAATCTTTTATGAGATAAAACCATTGTTTTAGCTTTTTGTTATCTGTATACAGCTATTCAAAAACTAGAAAAATTCTTAGCCTGAAAACGTCCATAAAAGCAAGATAAAAATTATTTTTCTTGTTTTATTTTTATTGAAAACTATTTATATAACCTAGAAAGAAGAAAAGATGAAGGTACATAAAGTTCTATTGCTATTTCTCTTGATGTAATAAGCCCGATATAAACATTTCGAATTTTTGTAATGTTGATGTTCCACAATAATCATCTAAATTAATAGGATCATATTTGATTCCTTTGGATGCTCCTATTCGTTCATTGGAACCATCATCCATAAGCGTATCATCATTTTGTTCTCGACGTTTCCTTACAGCTACTTGTAATTGTAAATCATCACCAATACGTATTCCAACTGATCTATAAGAACAAAATAAGAATTAAATTCTTCTTTTCTTTAAGAGAAAAAATATTACGTTGATATATTAGAATGATCAAGTTGAGCACTAAATTGAATTTCCGTTAGTCTACCAACAGTTGGTGCCATTGTACTACCAACAATAGACCAGCCAAAGATTTTTGCTAATGTACAAGCTGTTGTAAACTTAAAACAAGCTAGCTAAACAACAACAACAACAATAGAACTAATTTTTTCTGGAAAAACGACGAGTTTCGATAGTTACTTGGTTAATAAAAAATCTTTGAACTTCTTCAATATGATGCTGAAATTCAATTAAATGAGATTTATATTGAATTTTAACTTGACATTCTTCAATTTGGAACATATAGGACCAACTAAAAGAAAACAAGGTTTTTTGCGGATCTGTTTTCATTTGTTACTTGAAATACCTACCGGCACAATAGATCATAGCCCGGTACTATAATATGAACACGTCCAAAAGTCGATGTTGTGGAACTGAATGCACTGATGTTTACAGTCATATTTATATCACAAGTTGTTGCTAAGTTATTTAATACATTTAAAATCCTAAATGAAATTATAAAAGAACGTTGAAATTCATAAAGAATTGTGAAATTCAGATTCATCTTCCTTCAAATGACTCGCATATCGGCAAAACATTCGATTCTCTAAGTTCATCACTTATTTTACCTAGCTCGTACGACTTGATGTTGAGAGAGGTCAATAATTGTTTGTAAAATTGATTTATTTTCACTGATAGATTTTAATTGATTATAGTTAAAAGCATTGACACCAGCAATACGCCTTAATGCAGGTACGCCTAAGATGAATGGAATGTGATTAAAAGAAAATTTCTAATTATCTAACATACCTAACATAAGTGTGCTAGGCTTTAATTGTGAATAATGGAAATTGCGAAGAAATTGTTGACGTAACAGAGCACATAAAGAATATTCTAATAAGCCAATATTTGCACCCTAAACAAGTTTAGATTAATTCGTAAATGAAAACCAGACATTTGTTTTTTTTCTTACGCATAGAGTTTGTTCATTTTGAGTGCTTGCATCGAATTCACTAGCACGTAGAAGACTAATTGTCATGAGCACATCGGAAAGAATCTAGAAGAAAAATTTCACTGTCAATAAAGAATTGTAGTAATATATTCAAGTTTTTAGAGATAACACTACTTTACTTGCGTAACTCGAAAAAATATTCTTTACGATTGCTCCGGTAGTCTTTGGAAAACAGGGGAGTGTGAACAGATACAACTTAAAACTTCACGCTACTCTTTCTTTTAAGACAGTATAATTTTAACGTCTCTGCCTTTCTCTTAAAAAAGAAAGCAAAGGTCACAAACCCAACATTGAATTGAATTTCTCATGACTGCTGGTTGAATTATATTCGTTATATCCGATGCTTCACGACAGAGCTACAACAAAAGAAATAATTTATCATTGGTCAATATCAAAATTGATTTACTTGTGAGAAGAGTTCTTTTAAAAACACCGTTCGTTGTGCATTTTCTAATATTGAATCATAACTATTATCATTTGTATTCATAATTGTATCATTCGCCATCATGGTTGAATATGTTCGCAGTAGAATTTCTCCATCCTCTAGAATCAAAATAGAAAACAATTTTTATTATGAGAATTTCAACAAATACACAGACACACTCGTTTCAATTTCGATTTTTAATATAACACGAACTTGTAATTCTTCCGGTATAATAACATCAATGGAATTCGTGTGTGTTCGTTTATGACTATCAGCTTTTGTGACTTCAAATTGCATTTTATACGGATAAAATGAACCGGCTGTAAGAGAAAAACAAATAGCTCAATAATTATAATCATTTTGCTTAAAATTAACCTGATCGAAATGATAAATCTCCTAGATACTTGTTTGTATTGGCTTGTTTTCGTATTTTCCAACGTTGTCGTAAATTCGATAATTGTGCATGAAAATTTTCTAGATTTCCACTTGTTGTATTAATAATTTTCATAAAACGTTCGTAGGATGATAATAAAACATCGGCCGCTTGTCGTGCACTTGTACGTTTCGATACCCAAGATTTTCGTAGTATGTCTTGATTTTGTCGCGTTAGTAATTCCCGTTGTCGTGGATTAGCTGTATTTAAATTTTCATCCATATCAGCAACGTTTGCCGATAGATTAAAATAACGACGACTCATAACTAACGACAGAATATCATATAATGCACATACTTCAATATTGGCTTGTCTTGAATATACGAATAGAATTATACGTGAAATAAAACTTTTTTCCCGTTACCTCATTTGTTCGAAAAATGTTCCGAATGTATTTTTTGCTCCATTCGCTATGCGACGTTCTTCTTCGTTTGAACTTTCAACTACTGTATCTTCGGAATGTAAATCTTTCAATTCCATACGACTGAGAATTTTTGTAAAATGATCCGACATGGATTGAGTTCTAAGAAGTAAAGGTAACAAATTTTTAGATTTTTAAGTTTTATAACAAAATTAGAAAACTTACGACTTCACTTTTTCACCATCGAGTGAATATTCATAAACACTCGGTTCAAGGCATGGTTCAATCGTCACATTTGTGGACAGTGGTTCGGCCATATTTCACAAGAGAAAAAATCGAAATGTGAATCTAGATGAGTTCAATTCTCTTTGTTACTTCCTTACAAAAATTTCTATTGGCTAGTTCCCATCGACAAATGGCAAACTGCTAATCATTCATCGCTACCTACGATTTGATGTTCGTCGAAAAATGAAAAAAAAGGCTTAATTCGCTTTTAAATAAATATATATTTCATTTAGAATGGCTTTACATGAAGCTTTAATAGCTTTACAAACTGGATGTAGTGGCTTATTAACATTAAAACAAGATGATCCTCATTTTAAAAGAGTAAAAAATGTTTTATTTTCTCTTGTAATTTTTTACTTTATTTTCATCATGTAGCGTCTTCCAACAATCCCGTATGTTCATCAAGGTGAATTAGAAATACTTGATCGATTGACACAAATTGGTCAACATTATCGTACCCTTGATGAGTTCATTCAAAATATTTTTAGAGATAAAACAAGTAAAAATTTAGTTTTTAAATTAGCTTTTACATTTCTTTTGTTCTGTTAATTTAAGGTGGTTTGTATATATTAAGCTTTGTTTTTGAACTTCGTTCTATCCTTCAATCGTATCTTCAATGTTTAAGTCAACTCGAACATGAATGTCTTATTGATACATCGTTAACACTTTCACATCTTCTAATATCATTAACAGATTATACAATTTTATTTCCTGCTCTTGTTTCACTGATCAATAAACTTCAATCAAATAATTATCGTGGTTGTCAAATTCTTGATGTTATCCGTCGTTGTACATTAGATGGCAATACAATACTATCATCAACTATGAAACAATTACTATCTGCATGTCATCGAATTTTAATTAAACAAATAACATCGATTTTAACTCGAGGACAAGTTTATGATGAATATGCAGAATTTTTCATAGGGTTAAATAATAGTGTTAACGTCGAAGCAATGGGACTGGCAACACCTAGTGTTTCACGTATGACGTCAGCAATACCGAGTCGATCACATTCACCGGATAGAGATAGACAAATGACTCTTCAGGTAAACTGGAAAAGTTAACAACATATTGATATTACATTGAGCTATTTAAATCTAATCTAAAACGATCAATTGTCGTGTCTCAATAGGTTTTACTATTAAAAATTCGTCCTGAAAAAATATAAACTATATTAGAAAAATTATCATGAAGCATCCAAAAATTTTCAATCTATCTCAGCTTTGTTTTTTCGTTTTAGGTAGCTCAAAAACCTTCTCCCATGACACCTGGCTATAGTCAATATCAATTAATAGCTGATATGCTTCCATCGTATGTTCCTCTTCAATTGGCTGATAAAATTTTATTTATTGGTGAATCATGGCTTTTATTAAAAACGAACGATGAAGATAGTGATAAAAATGCATTATCAATAAGTTCGATTGATTACGATGAACAAAATAATCTTGTACAACAACAATTGCATGCATTGACAATATCTGATGAATTGAATATGTTTGAATTAGAACGTATTATTGAACGTGCAAGAATCGATTTATCGTTAACACTGAGAAATTTGTTTGTTGATCGTTTTCATTTGTGTGATGAACTTGAACAAATTCGAGGATTTTATTTAATTGAACGTGGAGAGCTTTACACACTATTTGTTAATCGTACAAGTCAATTATTGTTAAATACAAAAAAATCTACCAATGCTATTGAAAATGATGTTAATGAAGTTTTTAAACAGTGTGTAAATGATTTACATTTAGAGTCTATATTAACCAATGCTGATAAATTTAAATTTAAACTCAATTTTCCAGTGACGGAAAATTCAACACAAGTAAGAACTTTTTCGTACTCTTGGAATTAAGTGATCATTTGAAAGAGAACAGCGCATAAATTAATTTTACACAAACTGTTATAACATAAGTTTTAAATTATTTTTTCTTTCTCTAAGGAACAGTTTGGTTAACATACATATGAAAAAACGGTGACTAGCTGACAGTAACCATCAATTGTAACTTCGTTCTTAAGTATAACTCTGCAGGTCTACGCATGTTGAATACGCGCTTATAAAAGGCTAACTAGCGTAAAAGACCTTCCCTTTTCATAAAAAATTGATTCGGCTTTTCGACTTGAAAGAAAGCATTTCTGAATAAAACCAAATTACTATTGATTTAAAAAGCGATCGCTTGTACCTACGAACCGTATTCAGCTCGATCAAAAAAAAGGAACAACACTGCATAGTATATAGCATTCAATAGCATAAGCAGAACACGATATCTATTAATATTTGAATTTTCGATCGTAGGAAGCAAGTAATGGACGTCGTCGTTTTCTATCTCGAGTTCAAGGTACATCCGCAAATGCGAACAGTCCATTTGACTTTTGGGCTTGTGGTTGGGCAAATTTATCGATTCAATATAAATTAAAATATCCAATGAAAGCGTTTTTCAGTGAAAATTGTAAACAACGTTATAATGATATATTTCATTTATTAATTGTTCTACGTTATGTTCAAATTGAATTGAACAGTTTATGGTTGGCATTAAAAAATCAAGATCAAAATACTCTCATATCGCATTTAAGAAATGCAATGTCATTTTTTATAAATAATTTTCAATATTATATTCAAATCGATGTATTGGAATATAAATATCAACAGTTAATACGCTCAATATTATCCAGTACTGATTTTCAACAAATAAAGCATTTACATGAATTATTTTTATCTGATATTCAGCAACATTCATTTATGCTTTTAGGAACAGCATATGATTCAATAAGAAATATTCTATCAATATGCGTTTCATTTTGTTTAACATTAAAACAACAAGAAAACAATAATAATCTTGATGAAAATATTTTACGACAATTTGGACGAGACTTTAATTATGAAGTTAAAATTTTATTTGGAATATTAGGAATGGTTCAAAAGCACAATGCTCTACCACATTTAGGAGTTTTCTTAACAAGACTTGATTTCAATCGATTTTTGACAAATAATAATGGATCATTTGGAGAATTTTAAATCGATTGAAAAAGACACTCGTTCAGTCTCAATTTTCTGTTCGTTTTTTTATTACTATAAAATAGATAAATATCGATGGATACTCAACTTAATTTTTGATTTATGCAAGAAATAAGTGCTCAGTTAAATATAATGACTCGTATTGTGCATATAAAGGCAACTGTTATTCTTCCGAATATTTTCAAAAAAAAACGATTTATCATCCAAGTCAGTTGTCTTTATACAATCAGCATAATGCTAATCGTACGCCGTAATATTGTTATTGATAAAAGCAGAAGAGAGATTTTGCCAGCATAAGGCAACCTATTTTTTTCCTCAGATTAGATCAAGAGGGGAGGCCTCGTCCATGCACTTTCAGCTATCCGAATGACTTGGAATGAGCTCCCCCCCCACCTGATTTTTACAAGTATGGTTCATTATACATATACATCTAAGTGTATTACTTGGTCTTGATTAGAGATAAGAGTGTATGGTGATTTGTACAATAAGCTTGTTCTGAATTTTAATCAGCTCTTATGGCTCACACTCATCAGTGAATTTTAACTGAGATCTGATAAAGAACACGTTTCGATTGCTTTGAATAAATAAATTTATTTTAAATCTTTTCGCCAAAAGGAACAAAATTTGTAGAAATATCAGTCTGATCTATTTTTATTCTAGTGTAGCTCGGATGCTTTCATCGATTTCGAGTTTGTGAACTCATGGGCTGATGGTTATGTCAGCATATATGCCTGACGATCCGGTACCAGTTGACAAGTAGAATGATATGTTGTACAGCTGACCGATATTTAGCCTGAGTGATTGGCTTGCATAATCAATCGACCCAATAGTTCCACTACGATAGCAATACGATCCAGAACGACAGTTGGTCGTTGATAAACGATTGGTTCCTGACCAACCTGTGTAGGCAGATCCAGCTTCAAAGTCCCCATTAATTAAAATATTTGAGTCATCATCGTCAACTGAAACGTCATCCATAGTCCAATAGCTTGGATCTTGTTGAAATCCAAAAGAAAGAGTAACACATGTCTGTGTGGCTATGTAAGCGAAACTGTAATAGGTAAAAGTGGAACCCGTCATCGTTGGATTTGCCAAGTAGAGAAGAGTTGTATAGGTTGAACCACATACATATGGATTCGTCGCTAAAAATACATTATCACATTGTATAGAGAAGTTCGTATTTATTTTGTGTAGCCATTAAAACATACATCCCTTCAGTTTTGCAATTCCCGTAAACGATTACGTGAAGAATAAACACATTAGTAATATTAGTTTTGCTTTCCGTTTGTAATCAAAATTAGAAAATTCTTATTAGAAATTAATTGACTGCGTAGCTATTGGAAGTCACATCGACTAAGTATACTAAACTCAACAAGTGATTTTATGCGAACCCGACAAGTGTGTAGAATATGAGTATCCTTTTATTACTAAAGCAATGTAGTGAGTTTTTACGTACTTGTTGTTGTGGTTAAGGGTGGTCATTTAGTGTTACTTTACTAAATAAAGATAAATGATTCATTTATCTTTAGAAAATAAATGATAAATTGTTTTTTAATCATTTCCTATTATCTTCTAAAGAAAAATGATCCATCTATGTTTAAAAAACTAAATTATAGATGGTTTTTCAATCATTTACGTTTATTTTCTAAAGATAAAGGGTCACCCCTAATTGGGGCTCGTAAAATTTTTTGTTGTACTCGACGATCATGATATTCTGCAAAACAAAAACTATCGTGTTACCTGCATTATTGTGACATTATATTGTTATCCTCAACAACGATTGAAAACAAAAGATATTTCAGATTTTTCTCCTTAAAAGTTCCATATCTTCAAGAGATTACTTTTTTTCCATAAGAGATTCTAGCTAATATCTCTCTGTATAGAAAGTTACTCAAATATCCGACTTTCCAGGAACTTGGGCCGTCTAGAAGCAGAGTCCGCGTATTTCTTGATAAAGACTAGTGCGTGCAGTAGAGAGCGGTAGGTTTCATCAGACCAGAGCTCTTAAAAACATGAAACTACTGCTCTGTATCGATTTTCCGTATGCTCTCTCAGGTCATCATACATGAAGTTAGATACAGTTAAAAAATTTTCGCATCCGCCGGACTTTAATCCCTTGTAAATTTTTCCTAATATCTCGATAAATTAATAGTCTTGCCTCGTCATTACATGAATATAAAATTTGTTTTTCAGAGCTGAACACAATGCATTTTGGAAATGTGTTCAATCGGCTGCATTCTATTTATTTGTTCAATTTATTAAAATGCTTACTATAGCAACATGTTTTCCACCGGTTGATGAATTAACATCATTTGTTGTTAAAACTGTAAGTTTAATTTTGTAATTCAAAATAAAATATGTTGAATAAATGAATTCTAGGAATTTCTGAAAAATACGGTTGATTTATTAGATTTAGTTGGTTTACATTTTGTAATAACACGTATTTGTAGTAAAACTGATTTGAAATAATTAGTTGCTGCGCTTGGTTGGGGTTCTGCTGAACTTATTGTTACAAAGTTTGTTTCTACTTTTTTATTTTGTAAAAATATATTATATTTTTTTAATTTATAGATTTTTACCCTTATGGGTAGGAGCTCGTGGCATTGACTTTGATTGGAAATATATTCAAATGAGTCTTGATTCAAATATTGCTTTAGTAAGATAAATTAAAAAAGAAAAGAAAATCAAAATTAAACATATTATCATTCTAAATTCATCATCTATCAGTTGCTATGCTTATTTGGCTTCGTACTCGAAATGATTTAAATAAATCTTATATTCCATTAATCAATGTTTTACTACTTTTATGTTGTTATCGACCATTACTTTTAGAGTAAAATTCTATCTAGTCTATTAAAACTAAAATAAATTTCAATTTCCTTTTATTTAATAGAGTTTTGGTGCATGGCTTTGGTCTTGGAGCATGGGTACATTTATTATCAAAATTTTTATTTACTGCCTCAGTTGGTTTACCAACTCTTCAACTTTATTTATCATTACCAAACAATAATTAGATCGATGTCATTTTTCATACACGTGCAATAGAACACACATATAAGTGTCTAGGATTATCAGAATGTGTCTGTTTATTGTTTTGATGTCGAGAATACGTCTTTTTTTCATCATAATTTTTAATAAAAGAAGATCAAGAATGTTGTCGAAATCAAATCCGAGTTTTCTTTGAATAACAAGAATAGTGCATCAACTAAAAATAAAATTACTGTTCAATTCGACAGCATTACAAAATTTACTATATAATTAATGATATAAGTCGTGCATATTTCTATTTTTATTAGACTAAAACTATTTAATTTAGTGCATGGGAAATATTGAAGGTGTTCAACACAATTTATTTTGAATGTGAAGTTATATATCAGGGCTATCAAACCTCCTGGTTTCTGAATTTTTTAGAGACATTTTGAATTAGTAAAATGATCGAATGCTTTTTGTGAAACAATATTTAGTCATATGGAATAACAAATGAAATAGCATGATGCACGATCTTGTTAGCGTGAAATTGAAAATAAAAGTCAATATTCAATAGAACTGATCAGAATTTTATGATCATCACAAAGATACACACATGTTACTAATATGCCACGAACAATATGAATGTGTTATAGTTTATCTTTCTCGATATCATTATTATGCCACAATTAGCCTATCAGAAGAAAATTTTTATCTCTTGCGTAAAAGAAAATTTCAGCTTTTTTCGAAAAAAAAACAGCTAAACGTTTCCTAACTTTAAAAAACATCTTCTGAATTTTTCTTCTGGTTTTGGTAGATTTGGATTTGGCAGCCCTGGTACAACATTTCTTTTTTTCATAGAGTTGAGATTATTTGATTAACATTGTATTTCTCTTTATTATTCAACAAATCAAACTACATTCCCTCTACTGAAAGGAGGGTATTACGAAAAACAAGTTAAATGCGTTCGTTCGTAAGTTCGTAAGTTTGTAAGTTCGTTCGTCCAATAGGAAAGCAGATGCATAAACTTCACTAACCTCAAACAATATCTGTAGAGATAGGTTTCACCGAAGGTAATCGGGGGCCGGAGAACACGATGGCATTGTCAGATTTTTGAAATTTTGCTTTTTCCTTTTTATAGGAGAGAGAGAGAGACTTTTTTAGAAAAAAAATAGTTTTTTATAAGGGTTGACCGAAGGTAATCGGGGCCGGAGAACACGATGGCATTGTCAGATTTTTGAAATTTTGTACTTCAAACAGGTTTATAATGGACTAGGAGCTGTTTAGATCATCGCATTTTCTTGATAGAAATGCTTCGTAGGGAAATTTTTTGTGGGTACCATTCGATGATGTTTATAGTGTTAGATGTATCGTATGGATATGTGAGATATTGTTACGAATAGGCTATAGGCATCGTGCGGTTGAATTGATTCTCAATCTGGGAGCGGCTAGCCGCTCACCTGCACTGAGAGTTTGAAAGCTTTTTTCAAAATCTTCAGTTTATTCTTGATATGTCAACTTTTATTGCAGCACGAAGAATTTATTCAAACTTAACTCCTAGAATTCTAGATTAGCGCATCTACGAACGGACGCAAACTGATAAGTACTCGGGAATCATGTCTCATTCTTCTCTAAATTGTGATGAATTTATCGCATATGTAGATGTAACTGAATTGAATTAATCCCACAACTGTTGTTTTCGGTTTTTTTTTGAAAATTCTCTTCGTTTTTATCTAATAATTATAGAATGAGGTAAACCTTTTGAATCAATAATGCAGTGTTTAAAAGGATCACGTTCAACGCATATATGAGACAAAGCAAGTGGGGGCGGCTAGTCGTGAGTGGCGCCTCTCTGGGGAGCCGACGAATGGCTGGCCGCCCCCACTAGTTGAAAATCTGTTGTTATTATAGGACTACTTACCTTGCAGATTTATAGAACAGTTACACGTTGTCTCGATCAGAAATGTTGAAATAACTTTCGAAAATAGGACATATTTTGAATTTCTTCCGACGACAGGTCGTGAAATAATTGCTTAGCTCGTGTGAAACATTTGAAATTCATGTATGTCGTGATTATCTTAATAAGTTTAGTTTTTCCCGATTGCGAGTGAGTTTGATTCAAAAGATGTAAATCTCAGATTTATCTATGTGTGAACGTGCACTCAAGAATGAATATATCCATTCTAGACGGGAAACGCACCGAAACAAAATGAACCCACATGAGTTTGAGCAAAAATTAGGACAAATCTGACAGAAATCGAGTTAGAAAAAGACACTTTGATGTAATCTCTGATCTATTCGTGCAGACTCATGTTAAATATCTAATTCATAGACCAATTTGAGTTGTAACTTTACTAAAATGGAGTATTTCGATCATAGCTCTTATGAATGGGTCTTTTTCTTCACTCCGCTATTAAGTTGGTCGAAGGTTTTTGGGGGCGTAGCTTGAGCTGTAGCAGATCGGATGCACTTAACTTCAGTATTGCCATATATATTAGTAAGTAGTAATTAAATGCCGCTTTCTTGGTGATACTTCCAAGCAAGTTTTCTATTTATGCTCGGTTATCAATCGTGTTTGCCATGAAAATCGTTTCGAAGCTAGAAGCTATAAAATGTGAAGTCTCTCAGCTAGATAGTTTTGGATAGCTACGTTCCACATGGCTAAATCCTTTCAGTAGAGGGTTGGCGACGCAAACGTCGCGTTACCTTGTATGTTATAGAAATAAGGATAATATCTGTATTTATAACATTCAGTCTGGCTGATTGTTCTTTGAACTTAGCATGAAGAAAAATCTGATCGAAGTATATTTTTTTTCTAGTATGATGTTTTCATAGGAGACGAAAATCTTACACTTACATGAAATCTTACTCATGGATTCGTCATAGGTTACACTCCATCATCAGATGTGACTGCCCAAGGATGAATACGTTCTCCTGTGGTGTGCGTGTCATCAATGACATCTCTCGTACCAATCGTGTAGAGTTGAATTGGAGGTTGTTTCTCTTATTCTTTTGTCTATATAGAAATGAGCCGAACAAAGATTCACATATATTTATATATTTGTGTTTTTTTCAAATGTAACAGAATAATATCGTCGAACGTTTAGATAATTCTCCTAATTCTTCATGGATAACGCGAGCTTTCATGATACTTGGGTATTGGCCGACAATGAAAATTATGAAGAAGCAATCAAGGTTCGCTTTTAGTATGCTCATTTTGATGTACATTCATAGTTATTCTATTGCCAGATGATAACTAAACTGATCGACCAGCATAAGGATGAAACAAGCAATGAAAAAATTATACTCAATTACAAGTCTCGAGCCGAATGGCATTATTTCTCGAAAAATTATGGAGGTAAAACTATCTTCTGTTCTCCTGGAAAATATTTCATTTTCGTATTGTTTTAGATGTTGAAAGTGACATCAAAAGCGCCATGGATTATGGTTTTTGTATTGAAAAGAGTGAAAAGTTTTTCTTCATGTATCAGTAAGTTCGTTATTTCCTTCTATTAACGATGATTGGTCGTTTATTATTTTTAGACATTCAAAATTACAAGCTGGTCTCAATACAGTCATTGCCAGTTTTGAAAAACAAGTAGCTTTGAAGTGTACGTATATTAATGTTTATCTCGTAGAATTTTCAAAAAAATCATTCTCTATTGCTTTGTTTCAGTTAATTCATATGTAACGATGGGGGGGGGGGGGGGGGGGGGGGGGGGGGGGGGGGGGGGGGGGGGGGGGGGGGGGGGGGGGGGGGGGGGGGGGGGGGG